AATAATTAAACAAAGCTGGCACAAAGTCATGTATTCCTGACATTCCACATCTGAGTTTTAAAAGTTATAACATTTGGATATCAATCATAACATCATAAGTTTTTTCAATACGGGAAATTCTAAGAATGTTTGTATTTCATCTCAAAATACTTTGTGGTTGTTAAAGAAATGTACTTTTAATTGTACATTCATACTGGAGTTTTGTCACTATTTTTTTGTGTGTTCAAGTTCTGATAGGTATTTATATGTTCATCCAAAAATACAGATTTATATTTAAACACACTCATGAAATTTGTGGTCACTATTTCATGATGCCTCTTAAAACGACCATGTTTTAAGAAGGGAATATGTTCATTTAAGTTCACATGGGATCGAAGGCTCATTTTTTGGTTTAGTGTTTGGAAAATTCTTGATCATTTCGACTCTTCCACAATGAAAAGTAAAGCATCCTGTCAGAAGAGCAGGGAGGATGAGATGCAAGGTCAAAGGGCATTTCAGAAACAAACAGCTGGACCAGTTTACTTAAGCAGATAGAGCGATGGGGGGAACTGACCTCAGCTTGACTTATGGTGGGAGGAGCAAGAATGTCATTTTATTACTTTGCCCAGGAGGAAAATGTTTTTGTATCTGAATTCACCCCAAAGTCATTTAAACACATGGCTCTGCTGTATGTAGCATAATTCCAAAGAGAGAAAGCACATCAGAGTCTAGAATGATGATAAAATACACAAAACAGAATCAAATGTCAGATGGTTTTAAGATTGAAAGGTGATGCTGTTTTAAAAAGTAAGGTATTTTGCCACTTTCTCGGTTATTTTCAGATAAAAATGTCCATCACAACCCCAGGTAATAACATAAGGGCATTTCAAAGAGTTCATGGAAAAATGGAATTATAAGATAAGTTTATTTTGGTGCAACATTTTTAAATCCATGCATAGTTTTTTCATAATATTAATTTTCCTTTAGCTTTCTGAAGGATCCTTCTATGTTGCTCATGTAACTATAGGAATTATCATTCAGTAATATTCTAAGAGTGTACTATGCCCTGTAAGTATTGATAATATTTCACTAAAGTGATTTTTTTTAAATAAAAGATTTCAAAAGTAAAAGTTTTTTTTCAAAAGTAAGACCTACTAATGTGGTCAAACAATTTAAACAAAGAGATTAGGCTTTCTAGTTCTTTTTTTTATTATTTATTTATTTATTTATTTTTATTTTTTTGACAGGCAGAGTGGACAGTGAGAGAGAGAGAGAGAGAGAAAGGTCTTCCTTTGCCGTTGGTTCACCCTCCAATGGCTGCCGCGGCCGGCGCACCGCGCTGATCCGATGGCAGGAGTCAGGAGCCAGGTGCTTTTCCTGGTCTCCCATGGGGTGCAGGGCCCAAGCACCTGGGCCATCCTCCACTGCACTCCCGGGCCACAGCAGAGGGCTGGCCTGGAAGAGGGGCAACCGGGACAGAATCCGGCACCCCGACCGGGACTAGAACCCGGTGTGCCGGTGTGCCGGCGCCGCAAGGCGGAGGATTAGCCTAGTGAGCCGCGGCGCCGGCGTTCTTTTTTTTTTTTTAAAGATTTATTTATTTTATTTGAAAAGCAGAGTTACACAGAGAGGGACACACACACACACACACAGTGGAGGAGAGAGAGAGAGAGATCTTCTATCTGTTGGTTCACTCTCCAAATGGCCCCAAAATGGCCAGGAGCCAGGAGTTTCATCCAGTTCTCCCACGTGGGTGGCAGGGGCTTAAGTACTTGGCCGCCTTCTGATACTTTTCGAGGTGCATTATCAGGGAGCTGGATCAGAAGTGGAGCAGCTGGGACATGAACTGGCCCCCATATAGGATGCTGGAGTTGCAGGTGGTGCCTTAACTTACTATGCCATAACACTGGCCCTTTAAAAGTTTTTTTTAATCAAAGGATTCCTACCTTAACAGCTACATATTAAATGGGTACCTTATTTGTTTATTTATTTTCACTTTATTTGAAAGAGAGAGAGATTTTTCATCTACTGGTTCACTCCCCAAATGCCTACAACAGGAAGATCTGGGCCAAGCTGAAGCCAGGAGCCTGGCACTCCCTTCCATGTGTGCAGGGACTCAAATACTTGAGCTATCATCTGCTGCCTCCAAAGATGCACATTATCAGGAAACTGGATTAGAAGCGGAGTATCCAGGGCCCAAAAATGCACTCTGATGTGGGGTGACACTGTCTCAAATGGTGACTTAACTGTTGTAGCACAAACCAGCCCCTCCTGTTGGTGTCTTATATCTGTGTTTTAACAACACTACTGCCACCAAAAAAAGAAGCAAACAATGTCCAGTGCCTATGGGCACTAAGCTAAGAGCCTGTGATAAGATATTTCGCTCTTCTCATGTGGACCAGAGAAGCCCTAGAATAAATGGAGTTAGTGTTGTTCACCCTAAGTCTTAGGAGGAACACAGAGAAACCTCAGCATATTGAACAGAGTGGCCCAGATGCAGAGCGGACTCAAGATCCTAGAAGGGCTCATGTTCTAGGAAGAACTTCTGAAAAACAAGACTGGGGAAACCTATAGGGCAAGCTGACTGTGTTTAAGTATTTGAAAAGCTATCCCGAGGAAGTGAGGTGAGTCTTGTTTCAACTACCCTACGGAGTTGTCCTGTGAAAAGATTTTCAGAAGATAGAGCCTTTTAGCAGTTTGGGCTGTCCGGAGGTGACAAGGACTCAGGTGAGATGGTGAATGCTATATTAGAAACAGCGAAGCAGACAATACCCATCTACCTGGGGCTAGAAGAGAAGGGATTCACGTTGGAGAACAAACTAGGTGGCTGTTAATAGCACTTTCCAATCTTGAATATCTGAATGTGGAGTAGGCAAGCTTTGGGACGTCAATACATTGAGTGACTGACTCTTTTTTGGAGTAGCCTTATCTTTGTCCATATACACTGGCAGTACAGCCCTCAAAATTTCCAATCTGCAGAGCGTTCACAGTCATGCTTATCCCTTGTCTTAACATTAGGGTTGTTGCCAGTGGTAACTGGCTCAAAGCCAGCTAATTTTTAGGCGTCTATTTAGTCTGGAATGTTCTAGATGAGTGGCACACAGTGGCCATGTTCTGGTCCCAGGGTTAGAGAGCAGGGTGCTCCCAACCATTTGCCAGCTGTGTGTCATTCAACAAATTATTAGCATCCCTTTGGTAACATGTGACTTCAGATAAGTCACTTAATTTCTCTGAGCTTTGATTTCTCATGTTAAAAATGACTCTCCCTATTTTTAGGTAAGTAGTCTAAATCATATCTATAAAATAATATGCTTGTAAAAGGGTTTGCAAAAGAAAGTTAAGAGAGTTCCCTTACTCTGAGACCTTGTAGATTAAGAATAGTGCCATAGATAAAGTGCTGTTTCTTGATCTCTTACCTATGTTAGTTACTATGAAAATTACTTTTGGTATATGCAGAATATTAATATTAAATAATTTTCTAATTGGTCATGCAGTGAAGCCAGCTAATGAAAAAGCAGATTTTTTTTTCCATTTTAATTGGTTATTTCACATGGTGTTGTGCTACACCTGTGCTTATAATGAGAATGGAGAATTAATCTAACCTTCTGCTCACATGATTCCAATTTTCATGGTTTATACAAGATAATGATAACCTGATTTGCAACACAATTTGGTGTAGATCTCTGTTTTAAATATTTTTATTAGCAGTTCAGGGACTTCATACGCAAGAACTGATGTAATATATATTACCAGTAAGAGTTAACACCAACAGAATACTTTTTAGTTAGATTCCAGTTTCATTATTTATTTTAATTACTTCTCAGACAAAGAAAGAACATAAGAATACAGGATATTGAGAATCTTATAAAGTTTGAACTATGCATTTTTATTTTTAAAAACCTGTCCCTATTTAATGGTTTGGTTTCAGGAACTATTTTCCTTCTTGAAGTGGGCAGACATACAAACTAGAATTCATACTGGACTGTGGATGCTTTAATTATTAATAATGCAGTATTAAACTTTCCATTGTATTTTTATGTCCTTCTCAGATGTGATTTAAAGTAATATACTATTATAGAATCTAATATGTCCCCCGCATTTTCTGTATTTGATATGTAATTCTTAATGTGACATAGCACAAATGGATCTTAAGAGTTGGGCTCTCATGAGTATGATTTTGGAGAGCATATATTAACCACCTTTTTATGTTTTAGTGACTAGTCACTTTGAAAGGACTACAAAAATAATTGTACAAAAAATCTTATTAAGCCACTTAAAGTGACTTAAGTGTCTTAATCAGATGTTTATAAATTTTCAGAGCTAGCTGGAGAAAGCAAGATTATAAATTCAATTACTGTATGGCTCTGACCTCGCCTTGACCTCAGTCTTTGCATAAAGAGCAAAAATAAATAAATAAATAAAAGCCACCCCAAGAAATCTCTGCAAGGAATGTGTTTCTGTGAAGTCCCCAGCAGTGTGAGTTAGTGGTGATAAACTCCAGACATTCTCTCATTTGATGGTGTGCTGCATCCAAGTTCATTATCTTAATAGTAGGCATTAAAATAGAATTAGGTTTGCAAGAGGTTGGGGAAGTTTTGGCAAAAACTGTAAAAAGAAGTCAGAGAACCTAAGATTGAAAATGTTCTCATTAGGAGAGGCAACAGATGCCCACAGGAGCATCTCACTCTCTATACTAATTTCCCCCTCCTTGCAACTGAAAAGAGTGGTGGCTAGCATTGTTTCCTGAAACTCGGCTAATTCCCCCATGAAAAGATGAAATGGAAGTGTCCGACTGTGGTAAAACAGGCAAACATAAATCATCCCAGAAACCCCAGGCCTGTGCACTCGGAGGTCACTGGGGGTTACAGGTTGTGCAGCCTGCGAAGAGCAAAGAACCGAGGCATGCCCATTTTGCCAACATCTAGATTTGCTCTTACTGGGATGCGGCTTGTCCTCTTCCTCCACTTTTCCTCTTCCTCTTTTAAAAGGCATAACGGTGTGCTCTGCTTTCTTGGTTCCAGGTTTATTAACGCCCGGAGAAGAATAGTGCAGCCCATGATAGACCAGTCCAACCGAGCAGGCAAGTCCCCCATAGTGACAGTATTCAAGTCGCGCAAGCGCAAAGCATCCTCAAGCCATTCACCGGGAGCTCCGCTACCTGGTAAAGAAACTGGGAGTGAGTACTAGGAGCGCCTGGCCATGAAAATTAAACCAGTTCCGTTGCATAACAACACTAATCAATTTAACATCATTATAAAACGTTTGGAGAAGGTGGAAAAAAAAGCCAACAGGAAAAAGTAACTCTTAAATCATATGCTCAGTTACAATATTCTTGGTACACATTCAATATATTAATGTTATTTTTTTTCTGAGTT